TGAGAGCCTGAAGTCAGAGAGAGTGACTCTGGTTCTACATTATGCTGACTGAGGGGAGCCATCTGCCAAAGATCTGTCTGGTGTCACTGGAGATAGTCACCTGGAAGGAGGCTGCCATTCTGTCCTTGGGCCTTGTGAGTACAGACACAGAGATCTTGGGGCCTCTGTGTGCTTTTCTACCCCTCTGGTGCTTGATAGTCAGCGTGGGTCTGAGGAAAGGGAACTCTGGCTGGTGTTCTGAAGAGCTTGTCCAACTGCCAAGGACTTTGCTCAAGTTTTGCTGTTTTTATGGACTGTCGCAGTCTGCCGCAACAGGCCTGTAACTGAGGAGCTCAGCCCTGATACTACTGCTAAAGGGACTCGGCTCGCTCCTAAACTACTTGTTGCTGCAATCTAAAGAGAAGTCTACTATCTGCTTCAGCCGGGACTTCTACAGGGACTTCACCAGAGCTCAACTAGGAGATCAGCTAGATGTCCTCAGTGTGAAGAGTTCTGATCTTGGAGCATCCTACTACAATTCCCCATCCCTATTCCTCTAGACTGGTCATCGAAGACAACGAGCCAAAGTGTGTGTGTGTGTGTGCGTGCGTGCGTGCGTGTCTAAGGTAGGGGAGACCTGGTCAAAAATACAAGTGGCTCCTACACAGTCATAGGAGGATGGGGGATGGTGTCACCACAAGCCGTCCAATCCAAGATATCACCGGCACACCACATCTAGATATACAGAACACTTTAATGTCACCAACAGAAAGTATATTTACACCACAAAATGTCCTCAGCCAATGACAGGTGAGGACGCCATTTTTATTCTTCTCCTGCCATCCATGGCCAACCCAGTCCCACACTTCATTCACGTCTTTGGTGACCTTCTTATGAACTGTTTCTTCCATGATGAAAATCAGCCATGTAGTATATCTGAGGTGTATATCAAGGGGTGCTTCTTCCCCACATGAGAGCTGGGATGTCCAGCAACATTCAGCTAGAGGACATTTCCCACACTCAAGGTACTAATACACCTCCAGGGTTGTGTGGGACCCCAGGAAGACAGGACTTCAGTGAGGAACATTTCTCACACTTCATCCATGCCTTTGGTGACCTCATACTCCATGGCTGATCTTCATCATGGAAGAAACAGTTCACAAGGAGATCAATCCGAGGTGTATATCAGGGGGTGCTTGTTCCCCACATGAGAGCTGAGATGTCCAGCAACATTCATCTAGAAGACATTTCCCGCACTCAAGGCTCTAATACACCTCCAGGGTTATGTGTGTTCTCCGGTGCAAGACAAGACTTGTGTGAAAAGCATTTCCCGCACTCATGGCAGGATTATGGTTTTTACCCCCATGTGCAGTCTCTGATGTCTGTAAAGATTGGACCTCTCTGAAAAACATTTTCCGCACTCATTACAGGTATACGGCTTCTCCCCTGTGTGGGATCTCTGATGTCTGTAGAGATAGGACTTGTCTGAAAAACATTTCCCGCAGTCTGCACAGGAATACGGCTTTTCCCCCGTGTGGGATCGCTGATGTATGTCCAGTGCAGATTTATGAAGAAAACATTTCCCGCACTGAGGACAGGAATGCGACATTTCACATGTATGCAATCTCTGATTTTTGCAAAAAACGAGAATTTTCTGAAAAAGATTTCCCGCACTCAGGACAAACATATGGCTTTTCACTCATATGAGACCGCTGATGTCTTTCCAGGACATGTTTATGAAAAAAACTTTTCCCACACTCAAGGCAAGAATATGGCTTCTCACCTGTGTGCAGTCTCTGATGTGTACAAAGATTGGACTTCTCCAAAAAACATTTCCCACACTCAGGACAAGAATATGGTTTCTCACCCGTATGCAGTTTCTGGTGTCTGTAAAGTTTGGACTTATCTGAAAAAGATTTCCCGCACTCAGGACAGGAATGAGGCTTCACTGCCATGTGAATCATTTGATGTGCGGCAAGTTTTGATTTTCGTAAAAAACATTTCCCACACTCATGACAGGAAAATGGCTTCTCCCCCGTGTGAGTTCGTTGATGTCTGTAAAGATGGGATGACTCTGAAAAACATTTCCCACACTCAAGGCAGGAATACGGCTTTTCCCCCGTGTGAGACCTGCGATGTTTAGTGAGATCTGCTTTATGTAGGAAACGTTTCCCGCACTCAGGACAGGAATGTGGCTTCTCCCCCGTATGAGATTTTTTATGCACATAAAGACCAGATTTAAAACTGAAAAATTTCCCACACTCTGTACAGGGAAACCTCTTCCCTGTGTGAAGGCCGGCCCGGTTCCCGCACAGTCGGAGGTTCCTCAGGATACGAGGAATCCGATGGTCCATCTACACTGGGTGGAGCGGGATGGACATTGGAGGGAGCCGGGTTTTCTCCTGGACTATACTGTGTGATGTCCTCATCTTCTACTTTCCAGTCTGGAGACAAAGTGAGACAATCCTCGGAGGTTTTCCTCATCTTCCGGCCATGGACTAAAATACAAAGACAAAGAGGATTACTAGACAGGAGCTGATTGGTTCCCCCAAACCAGGACTCCGCCCACATCAGGCAGCTTGGTCTCTGAGGATATGCCCTAGATAGGTAGGTGCTGTAGGCCTGTGAGCCCATTCTGGGCGGTGGGGGATCTCGGTGGAGACATTATGGACACAGCCACCTATTCTCTTTAATGGAATAAATACATTGACTTTACTGCCGAATGCGACTCTCATCCATATTCCCAATGTTGGGGCCGAGACGGCTCATTGGGAGTCAGCAATACTCCATGAATGACCCACCTGTGCTGATTTCTGTGTCCTCTCCCACAATTATCCTCATGATTCCATCCTCCTCCATAGAATGCCCATCATCCCTCACATACGCCTCTTCTTCTTCCTCAACTTTTATATCTGTCAGATCTTCACCCTAAACCAAGAGGAGAGAAAATATCATCTGTACATGATAAACGTTAATATTGTGACATCACATAAAGAATCTGCATTATGTCCATGAGTCCATGTTCTAGATGACAAAAATAAAAATGCAATTGGCGCAAGAGAATTTGTAGTGGATATAACGTTCACTCAGTAAATCTTAAACAAAATAATCCAGTAAACAGAAATTAAAATATATAATCATATATGCTAGTAATAAAGGGACAACAAGTAAATGATGCAGCTTTAGTGGTGAGGGAGGGGAGGGGGGGAGGGAAAGGAGGGGAAAAAAGGCCTTGTGATGCAAACAGTACTGGATTGAGATAGATGGTATATACAGTTGCAAGAAAAAGTATGTGAACCCCTTGGGATTACGTGGAGTTTTGCATGAATTGGGCAGAAAATGTGCTCTGAACATCATCTAAGTCACAACAATAGAAGAACACAGTCTGCTGAACATAATACTACACAAAAATTAGATGTTGCCATGGTTTAATTGCACATAACATGTAAACATTCACAGTGCAGGGAGGAAAAAGTATGTGAACCTTTGGACTTAATAACTGGTTGACCCTCCTTTGGCAGCAATAACCTCAACCAAACGTTTCCTGTAGTTGCAGATCAGACCTGCACAACGATCTGGAGTAATTTTGGACCACTCCTCTTCACAAAACTGTTTCAGTGTAGCAATATTCTTGGGATGTCTGGTGTGAATCGCTCTCTTAAGGTCATGCCACAGCATTTCAATCGGGTTGAGGTCAGGACTCTGACTAAGCCACTCCAGAAGGCGTATTCTGTGCTGTTGCAGCCATTGTTTTGTTGAATTACTTGTATGCTTTAGGTCATTGTCCTGTTGCATCACCCATCCTCTGCGGAGCTTCAGTTGGCGGACAGATGGTCGTACGTTTTCCTGCAAAATGTCTTGATAAACTCTGGAATTCATTTTCCCATCAATGACAACAATCCGTCCAGGCCCTGAGGCAGCAAAGCAGCCCCAAACCATGATGCTCCCTCCGCCATGTTTTACAGTGGGGATGAGGTTTTGATGTTGGTGTGCTGTGCCTTTTCTTCTCCACACATAGTGTTGTGTGTTCTTCCCAAACAACTCAATCTTGGTTTCATCTGTCCACAGTATATTTTGCCAGTAGTGCTGTGGAACATCCAGGTGCTCTTTTGCAAACTTCAAACGTGCTATAATATTCTTTTTGGACAGCAATGGCTTCCTCCGTGGTGTCCTCCCATGTACTCCATTCTTGTTTAATGTTTTCCTTATTGTAGATGTGTCAACAAAAATGTTAGCATGTGCCAGAGATTTCTGTAGGTCTTTAGCTGACACTCTGGGATTCTTCTTTACCTCATGCAGCATTCTGCGCTGTGCTCTTGCATCATTTTTACAGGACGACCAAGCCTAGGGAGAGTAGCAACAGTGCTAAACTTTCTCCATTTATAGACAGTCTGTCTTACCGTGGACACATGAACATCAAGGCTTTTGGAGATACTTTTGTAACCCTTTCCAGCTTCATGCAAGTCAACAATTCTTGATCGTAGGTCTTCTGAGAGCTCTTTTCTGCGAGGCATGGTTCACATCAGACAGTGCTTCTTGAAACCAGTAAACCCAAAACAGGTGTGTGTTTTTTTAAGGGCAGGACAGCTGTCAGCAACACATCCAATATCATCACACTGATTGGAGTCAAGGTTGGCTCACTCCTGGCTCCAATTAGCTCTGGGAGAAGTCATTAAGCTAGGGCCTCACATACTTTTTCCTCCCTGCACTGTGAATGTTTACATGTTATGTGCTATTAAACCATGACAACATCTAATGTTTGTGTAGTACTATGTTCAGCAGACAGTGTTCTTCTATTGTTGTGACTTAGATGACATTCAGAGCACATTTTATGCCCAATTCATGCAAAACTCCATGTAATCCCAAGGGGTTCACATACTTTTTCTTGCAACTGTATATGTGTGTACATATATATACAACGCTGCAATGTAGACACCGTCGTGAGGCTTGCACTTTCTAGAGTAAACCGGACTCTGTGGTAAATGGAGAAGAAAGAGAAGTGCGCCAGACCAGATGATCCAACCTACCAACCTTGTAATGGTGAGGGATGGTACGACCTTCCTCTGTGGAATCCCGAGAATACAGAGGACGGGAACATCTCTCTGGTGGGTTCCCATGACTGGATCCATCTACCTGAAGATGGAGAGGGATGGTGTGACCTTCCTGTGTGGAATCCCGGGAAAACAGATGACGGGGACATCTCTCTGGTGGGTTCCTGGTATTAGGTGGCTCCATCATATCCTTGTGTTCTTCTGAAAACTCCTCCATTACTCCATACTCCTCATCCTCCTCTGTATACTCTTCTTTAACATCAATATTATCATCCCCGAGGATTCCACTCTGAGTACTCTGAATGTAAATTGAAACATTAATTGTAACAAACATGCCATGTATACATTATAACCACCAGTGATTGTTCCTCACCTATCTGATGATGGTGAGGGATGGTGTGACCTTCCTGTGTGGAATCCCGGGAATACAGAGGACGGGGACATCTCTCTGGTGGGTTCCCATGACTGGATCCACCTACCTGATGATGGTGAGGGATGGTGTGACCTTCCTGTGTGGAATCCCGGGAATACAGAGGACGAGGACATCTCTCTGGTGGGTTCCCATGACTGGATCCACCTACCTGATGATGGTGAGGGATGGTGTGACCTTCCTGTGTGGAATCCCAGGAATACAGAGGATGGGGACATCTCTCTGGTGGGTTCCCATGACTGGATCCACCTACCTGATGATGGTGAGGGATGGTGTGACCTTCCTGTGTAGAATTCCGGGAATACAGAGGATGGGGACATCTCTCTGGTAGGTTCCCATGACTGGATCCATCTGTAGGAAACACACACACTGACTGAATCCATTGTTTCTATGTGTTTATCAGATGATGGGGGATCTAGGTGGATCCTCCGTACTGCTGTCTCCTGTACAATAAAGTCTCCTCTTACCCAGTGATGTGAGGGGTGGCTGATTGTCCATCATGACGTCCTTGTAGAGGTCCTTGTGTCCTTCTAAATACTCCCACTCCTCCATGGAGAAATAGACAGTGACACCCTGACACCTTATAGGAACCTGAAACAAACAATGATACAGTCACCATCCAGACACATCCCTTGCCTGTTACTGGAGAATGTCCCAGAATTCCCGGCACCGCTCACCTCTCCTGTCAACAGTTGGACCATCATGGTGGACAGTTCCAGGATCTTCTGCTCTTTGTTCCTCTCAGGTATGGGAGAACGAGGGGGAGGCACCATGGTGGGGCTCTGGGTCCTGCTCCATCCTCCTGAGATTGGCTCCCCACTAGACTTCTTCACTACAACATAATCCTACAGATCAGGAGAAAGAGAAACCGATATCAATCATCTGACATCATCTACATGTCTACAAGAAGAACATGGTCTATTGGCCAGACTAGACCAGAGTGATGTCATGTGACCTCCCAGAATCCTCCTCACCTCTCTGGTCAGGTCTGTGTGATGTCATGTGACCTCCCAGAATCCTCCTCACCTCTCCGGTCAGGTCTGTGTTTTATTAATAGAGATGAGAGTGATGTCATGTGACCTCCCAGAATCCTCCTCACCTCTCCGGTCAGGTCTGTGTGATGTCATGTGACCTCCCAGAATCCTCCTCACCTCTCCAGTCAAATCTGTGTTTTATTAATAGAGATGAGAGTGATGTCATGTGACCTCCCAGAATCTTCCTCACCTCTCCGGTCAGCAGGTAGATGATCTCCAGTGTGAGGTTTAGTATCTTCTCAGTCATGTGACTCCGGTCCTCCTCCATCCTGACCAATGGGTGGATGACTTTGGGCAATGAAAATAAGAATTACTTGGACAGTATTGGTCACACAGTAATAGGATGAGGATGTGGGGCTGGGGTACTGTGAGGGTTGCTACCCCAATGGGAACACATTTAGTTTGGACTGTTTAGTGTTTGTTACATCTTAGAGGTCTCGGGACCCTCTTGTCCTTCCAGGTCAGAAATTCCCTTTTCTCTGTTGGGTTGGATTGGTCTCTGAACTGGTTTGAAGTATGCTGAAGTATGAACTGGTTTGAAGTATCCAGGACATTGTACAGAGTGGTGGTGGGCTCCTGGAGATCCTAATTCTAGCAGTGGGCACTTCCAGAGCCTGGAAGGTATTGAACTGAACTCCTATACACATTGTACTGATGCCCTGGCCATCCCTTAGCCAATGTTACACAAACACCTCCTCTAAGAACAAGTGTCCACCAAGAGGTGAAGGACTGCCCTTCTTTATTCCACTTGGTATCCTAAACCAGATGAGTTTAGCAGTAATACGGTGAGAAGGTGAAGGTCGCTTTCACTTCCTTCACTGGCAGGTGGCAGTACATTAAGGTCTTAAAAAATAAATGCAGATGGGAAGAGAGGACCATCCCAGAACCATAAAGCCCCTCAGCTCCTCTATTTCCCTCAGCTCCTCTACTTCCCTCAGACCCCTCAGCTCCTTACTTCCCTCAGCTCCCCCTTCTTCCCTCAGCTCCTCTACTTCCCTCAGACCCCTCAGCTCCCCTTCTTCCCTCAGACCCCTCAGCTCCCCTTCTTCCCTCAGACCCCTCAGTATTTCCTCCCTCTGACACCAATGATGGAACATATTCTTCATGGCCGGCTGGGGGATGTTTTCTTCCTCCTGACCAGCAATGTAAGGGTCTCTATGCTCCATACTCCTGACCCCGGCACTCCATCATTGTGTTGGATGCATAGTGTAATGATTGCCCATTGGCTGCCTGTTTAGTGCAATCATCGCCCTCTGTAGGCCATGTATGGTCATTGTCTTGTCTGTTTATTGTCAGTGCTGCTTGTTAGAGGACCATATTACTAGAATGTATCTCCACAATGAGAATACTGTGGCCCCGGAAGTGGGGGAATGTTCTGCCCCTGAAGGGGTTAATCTGGGTTCCCACACTATATATGTGTGTAACATCATCTGCTGGAGATAAAAGACGTCACAGTGACTATGAAGGAAGAGGACGGGCGTGACGGTGGAGGGAGAGGAGAGGACGGACGGACGTGACGGTGAAGGGAGAGGAGAGGACGGACGGACGTGACGGTGAAGGGAGAGGAGAGGACGGACGGACGTGACGGTGAAGGGAGAGGGAGAGGACGGACGGACGTGACGGTGAAGGGAGGAGGAGAGGACGGACGGACGTGACGGTGAAGGGAGGGGAGAGGACGGACGGACGTGACGGTGAAGGGAGGGGAGAGGACGGACGGACGTGACGGTGAAGGGAGGGGAGAGGACGGACGGACGTGACGGTGAAGGGAGGGGAGAGGACGGACGTGACGGTGAAGGGAGAGGAGGAGGACGGACGTGACGGTGAAGGGAGAGGAGAGGACGGACGTGACGGTGAAGGGAGAGGAGAGGACGGACGTGACGGTGAAGGGAGAGGAGAGGACGGACGTGACGGTGAAGGGAGGAGAGGAGAGGACGGACCTGACGGTGAAGGGAAAGGAGAGGAGAGGACGGACGGACGTGACGGTGAAGGGAAAGGAGAGGAGAGGACGGACGGACGTGACGGTGAAGGGAAAGGAGAGGAGGACGGACGGACGGACGGTGAAGGGAAAGGAAGGAGAGGAGAGGACGGACGGACGTGACGGTGAGGGAAGGGAGAGGAGAGGACGGACGGACGTGACGGTGAAGGGGGAGAGGAGAGGACGGACGGACGTGACGGTGAAGGGAAGGAGAGGAGAGGACGGACGGACGTGACGGTGAAGGGAGAGGAGAGGACGGACGGACGTGACGGTGAAGAGGAGAGGAGAGAGGAGAGGACGGACGGACGTGACGGTGAAGGGAGAGGAGAGGACGGACGGACGTGACGGTGAAGGGAGAGGAGAGGACGGACGACGTGACGGTGAAGGGAGAGGAGAGGACGGACGGACGTGACGGTGAAGGGAGAGGAGAGGAGGACGGACGTGACGGTGAAGGGAGAGGAGAGGACGGACGGACGTGACGGTGAAGGGAGAGGGAGACGGACGGACGGACGTGACGGTGAAGGGAGAGGAGAGGACGGACGGACGTGACGGTGAAGGGAGGAGGAGGAGAGGACGGACGGACGGTGAAGGGAGAGGAGAGAGAGACGGACGGACGTGACGGTGAAGGGGAGAGGAGAGGACGGACGGACGTGACGGTGAAGGGAGAGGAGAGGACGGACGGACGTGACGGTGAAGGGAGAGGAGAGGACGGACGGACGTGACGGTGAAGGGAGGGAGAGGACGGACGGACGTGACGGTGAAGGAGAGAGGAGAGGACGGACGGACGTGACGGTGAAGGGAGAGGAGAGGACGGACGGACGTGACGGTGAAGGGAGAGGAGAGGACGGACGGACGTGACGGTGAAGGGAGAGGAGAGGACGGACGGACGTGACGGTGAAGGGAGAGGAGACGGACGGACGTGACGGTGAAGGGAGAGGAGAGGACGGACGGACGTGACGGTGAAGGGAGAGGAGAGGAGGACGGACGTGACGGTGAAGGGAGAGGAGAGGACGGACGTGACGGTGAAGGAGAGGAGAGGACGGACGGACGTGACGGTGAAGGGAGAGGAGAGGACGGACGGACGTGACGGTGAAGGGAGAGGAGAGGACGGACGGACGTGACGGTGAAGGGAGAGGAGAGGAGGACGGACGTGACGGTGAAGGGAGAGGAGAGGACGGACGTGACGGTGAAGGGAGGAGAGAGGACGGACGGACGTGACGGTGAAGGGGAGAGGAGAGGACGGACGGACGTGACGGTGAAGGGAGAGGAGGACGGACGGACGACGTGACGGTGAAGGGAGAGGAGAGGACGGACGGACGTGACGGTGAAGGGGAGAGGAGGGAGAGGAGAGGACGGACGTGACGGTGAAGGGAGAGGAGAGGACGGACGGACGTGACGGTGAAGGGAGAGGAGAGGACGGACGGACGTGACGGTGAAGGGAGAGGAGAGGACGGACGGACGGTGACGGTGAAGGGAGAGGAGAGGAGGACGGACGTGACGGTGAAGGGAGAGGAGAGAGGACGGACGGACGTGACGGTGAAGGGGAGAGGGAGGACGGACAGACGGACGTGACGGTGAAGGAGAGACGGTGAGGACGGACGGACGTGACGGTGAAGGGAGAGGAGAGGACGGACGTGACGGTGAAGGGAGAGGAGAGGAGGACGGACGTGACGGTGAAGGGAGAGGAGAGGACGGACGTGACGGTGAAGGGAGAGGAGAGGACGGACGGACGTGACGGTGAAGGGAGAGGAGAGGACGGACGGACGGACGTGACGGTGAAGGGAGAGGAGAGGACGGACGGACGTGACGGTGAGGGAGAGGAGAGGACGGACGGACGTGACGGTGAAGGGAGAGGAGAGGAGGACGGACGTGACGTGACGGGAAGGGGAGAGGAGAGGACGACGGACGTGAAGGAAGGGAGAGGAGAGGAGAGGAGGACGGACGTGACGGTGAAGGGAGAGAGGAGAGGACGGACGGACGTGACGGTGAAGGGAGAGGACGGACGGACGTGACGGTGAAGGGAGAGGAGAGGACGGACGGACGTGACGGAAGAGGAGAGGGAGACGGACGGACGGACGGACGGTGAAGGGAGAGGAGAGGACGGACGGACGTGACGT